AGCGTGCGCCCTCCAGCACATCGACTCCCTGTCGAAGTTGGTCCCGGGTGGGATCACGCCACGGTCCCAGAGACTGTAATTCCAAAGCAATTTATTCAGCCACCGAAAAGTTATGAAATGTTAAACCCCTAAGCCGTCAAACGTTTCTCTTGAGAGAGGGAGAGGGAGAGAGAGAGAGAGAGAGAGAGAGAGAGAGAGAGAGAGAGAGAGAGAGAGAGAGAGAGAGAGAGAAAAGAGAGAGAGTAGGCCGAGCCCCCAAGATTCCCAAGATCCCCAGGATCCTTTTTCGGAACGTAGGTGCAGGCCAGAAGTGCAGGGGTGGCTTGGAACGTTCGCTGTTTTTAGTTGTGAGTGTGCTATTTTATGTTTATGTTGGTATGATGTCCGGCAGGTTTCTTGATGTTCACGACTGCTTCCCCACTGAAACCAATCACTTAGCATACTGCAACTCGTGTTGTTCAACAGTGATGAGGGCCAGAAATACTGCCATTGCCTTACATGTTTGCAGCATCGCTAACACTTCCTTGCCATAAACGGCAGCAATTTGGACAGTACATGAACATGCGTAGTCCCGACGCTATTCAAGTACCTCACCACCAACAGAAATATCCAACCCCAGTTCCCTGTTGTTGGCAGTTGGCCTAGGACCTTGGGCTGCTTTCTCGTGGCCAGCGAGGCTCGCGGGAGGGGTCTCACCTTCGGGCGCTTTAGGGCGGTCCTGTATGACAGGATTGAGATTGGCTGTTCGTCCACACCAGCGGCAGGGTTTTCAAGTATCGTGTCACCACGATTTCTGAAAGAGCGGTGGTGCTTGTTGAAATCTGGTACCGCTGCGCGCATCTTTGCCCACCAGGCCACGGCTAAGGAGTTGGTCCCTCAGCTGGTCCGAGGCTTAGGGAGTTCTCACCTTGGAGTTTGCTGATGCATTTTGGGTGAGTTCCGCATTTGGGGTTTTGAATGCTTGGGAAATAGTGGCTGGGATGCATGTGGGCATTTTGCAGCATTTGCATTTGAGTCATACTCCAACTGATGAAACAAGAGTGAGACGCAGCCTTTCTGACAGCAGTTTAAGTTTAGTACTCTGTTTTCGGAAGTTCAGGTGATGTCGGCTGTGAGTGCTTTATATGCATCGTGCAGTCAACTCTTGCAACCAGGCTCTACCGGCGCTGTTGTCCTGCGATTCGCTTTTGCCCACTGTTCACTTCCGCTGCAGGTGCCGGCGATGCGCACTGTCACAGACCCTTTGGTCTCCTGGCTTGGCAGGAATGTGGGAGGTTGGCAAGCCAACGTCACAATGAGTTTCCTCCGCTTGGGAGGCGAAGTTTTCAGGGCTTTTTCTACAGCTCCCGGGCACGCGCAGGAAAAGCAGATCGAGAGGCCTTCCGAGCCTGCGTGAACCGAGCGTAGCCTCAAACAGCCATCTAGACAAAGCCGTCTCAATCTGATGCACACTTTCCCTAAACCCTAAACCCTAAACCCTTGAGGCTATGCCAAAAGCCCTGCAACTCAGGTTCTCAGCATCGACCCCTCCAGCAGGCTATGCAGTGGCCCTGCCCCTCAACCCCCTCACCCCTATCCTGCTTGGGAATTTTGTTCTATATATACATATAAAACGCAGGGGAGTATTGAAGATGATATGTTTATGAAGGTTCATAGGGGAGCATAGACCCAACCCCCCCCAAGGCATTGACCTCACGTGACGTCTACTTTCCTAAGATGTTAGGACATATTCGGACTTGGGAAATATGAGGATATGTTAGGATATGCTAGGATGATCCGGATATGCGTCAATGGCGTCTATCGGGCCTTGGGCTGCTGGATTGTTTCTTGAATGCTTGATTGGAATGTTAGAGTCATGCGGAGTAGGATCTAGGACGGTGGGCTTCAGGTTTCCATGCGACAAGTATGAATCTTGAGGACTCGAGAACCAGGTCAGTCTACCGCAGCTTCGACATTTGAAGCACCAAGGGCTTCGGGCTTTTGTATTCTGCGCTCAGAGACAGGGGTGCGGGTATTTGCACAGGAAGACCTCCTGGTTGCAGCTGAGCATAGGGCCAAAGGCTGCCCACACCTGAGCTCGGGAGTACCATGACAGATGACGATGCATATCCCCACGGGTTTAGGGTTTAGGGTTTAGGGTTTAGGGTTTAGTGTTTAGTGTTTAGTGTTCAGGGGTTTAGGGGTTTAGGGTTTAGGGTTTAGCGTTTCATGTCTAGGGGGTGATTTCAAGTGACCCAAGTGACCCAAGTCCGGGGCCTGCGCCGCTGCATCGTCTTAGAGGTCAGCAGCCTGGTCTACAGGCTGTCAAGTGCAGTCGCACCTCAAGCACACTTCCCCAATCCACATTTTCTTTCTGCAGATGCTTTGCTCTTCTATCCTCTAAAGTTCTAAAATTCTGAACCTCGACATGGCGCACCTCCACACCAACCCTGAACCCGCACATCTCTAGTAGCCCAAAACATCATGTCCCACACACGGATCTCGAACCCTGGAAACACCAGGGGTCCCAAATCCCAGGCCCTGCGCCCAGCGCAGATGAAAGCGGAGGCCTATAAGGCCGGGAAGGGTCATCCTAGCATCTGTATGCATCTGTGACTGGAAGTTGCGCGCCTTTTGGTTTTGTGGTCTGCTGCAGCAGCAGCTTCAGCTTCAGCTTCCGCTTCCGCTTCAGCTTCAGCTTCCGCTTCAGCTTCAGCTTCAGCTTCAGCAGCAGCAGAAGGAGACGTTCTACAGTGGACAGACGCTTTAAGTCTGTGCCTACTCGGACAGACCTCAATCTGGCCATCCCCTTCGGAAATGCAGTGCCACGCATAAACGTTAGTCGAAAGACATGCTGAGCAGTCTTTGAAAATACCTCTCCCCACACCTCAAGATCCCCTCTCTTTCAAGAAGACTGGGATGTCTCAGGATATCTCCTGCCAGGAAGTGTTCCCTACGAGTCGTAACCGGTGCATTGGAGGGCTCTGGGGCATGCTGAGCACTTGTAACGGCGCGGCGCTGCAAAACTGCCCAAAACAGGCTGAGTATGCTCCGCACTCTGATATCCTCAATGTTGGATGTATGTGTTCAGAATCACTAATCTTCACATACATGTTGCCGTGTTTGCAAACGACATGCTTTCAAGCGCATCATTGAAGTTTAGGTGTTGCATGTGTTGCACAACAGCAATTCCGGCACCAGTGTGCAGCGATGGCAATGTACACAGACGGACGGACGTCCTGCACCACGAAACCAAGGGCGTCTTAAATTGTTAGCAGAATGCCCATTGTACCCAGCGTTGCGTAAGGGATCCACCGCGTGTTGGGGCTTCCCACACATGCACACACGCACACACGCGCACAGCAGTAGCGCGCCCGTCACCAAGAGCAAAAGCGAAAGACCGAGAAGTTGATCATCAGGGGCTATAGGTTTGGAGCATTCGGAGGCACAGGTTTTGGATGGGCGGAGGGTTTGGACGACCACTCAGCCTCTACAAGTAAAGCACCGACGCAAGAACCCCCGCCAAATTGGGGTGTGTCTGGCCTGCCCGGGAGGTGGTCAGCAGAGACATTCTAGCGGCTTTTGTTTTTCTCTTGGGCTTCTGCCGGTTGAGCTAAATCGAGCTGCGCAGCGGGTTCCTGGTAGTCCATGTATGGTTGCAGGAGCACCTACTGCTATGGACCTCGACAGAAGTAGACGTGATGCTGCCGTTTGATGGAAGGCTGGTCCTGTGTCCGGTGGGTGTGGCACTTGAACAGTCCGGTGGCGCAAAGGTAGCAGGGTGATGTAGCCGACCCACGGCAGCACCTGGGTCAGATGCTCTTTTGATGTGAGATATAATTACCCAAATAGTAGGATCCCCTTATGATAAGGACCCCCAAATAAGGTACCCCGAATTTCGGAAGCTCCCAAATCACAGTGAAACTTACAGCTACTTCCTGCAGTCTTCCCATCGACAGCCCGGACGACGTCACGACACTGGTGGACCAAACCAGGAGGCGAGGCAAACCCTCCCTGTGCTAAAATGGCTACTGGCTAGGGAGGATGGCTAGAAGAGAGCTCAGCCGGCCGAACTGCACTCCTTTTTTGTTGGTTGCTTGTTTTCCACGTGGCATGCAATCCACGAGGCCCTCCATCTGTACTTTTCGAGACACAGAAGTTCACTCAACCCACAGTTCTGCGATCTTGTGTGTCTAAGTGCAACATGTGCCCGGCGATAGCTAGCATGCAATGATTTTCGTTGCTAATGTGGCGGGGCTGGGCCTGGGGGCCGGAGGGGGCCTCAGAAGTTCAGAGAAGGGGTCGAGTACACAGCGGCAGCACACAAGGTAGCAGGAGGAAGGAAAGGTCCGTTCGGTTGATCTAAACCCTAAACCCTAAACCCTAAACCCTAAACCCTAAACCCTAAACCCTAAACCCTAAACCCTAAACAACTCATGCCCGGAGTTCTTAAGGGTCGAGAGGTTCTTTATTCTCTTTGGTTTCAGACTCTCATTGCTGCCGTGGTTGCCATTTGGCAGATCTGTCACCGAAGATCTCCGAAGACGCACCTGCTGCTTGGACCTTAGCACAGAACCATTCAACAGAATCGTAGACGCAGGATGATGGTTTCAGCAGTGGCTGCATATTCTTGCCGACACCTCATGCCCTTCCTCCCTCCCAAACCCAACACCACAGCTCATGTCCTGCGAAACGCACCAAGCCCCACTGCACCACAACACCGACCCAAAGCCACCAAGGTGTGCTCAGCAACTCCCAGGCCGGCGTTGATTGATTTCCCAAAGTAGGGGGGGGGGGGGGGGGGGTACCTTGTCGGGGTCCTTCTTATAAGGGAATGCCACAATTTGGGGTCTTATAAGGGACTCCCCACAAATTGGGGTCTATGTTAGGGGCCCCTTTATTGTCGTAAGCCCCCATATTGCACCATCAGTTCTGCTAGCCTTGGACAGATCAGGTTTTGGGGGGTGCTTGTGCCTGGCTACAACCTACATCTCAGCTTCCGCAGCACCTGGCTCCATATCATGGCCCCACAGCACAATTTCGAGAAAGGTGATGCCGTGAATGTGATTGCAGGTATCAGGCAGCCTGGCTGCGCTGGATTTTAGCATGGTGTTGGTTTATTGGCCTCGTTTGGTGCTGTTGGCCGGTTCGGAAAGCGGTCCTGCTCACATGTGTGCTGTTGTTTTTGAACGAAGAGGAGCTGTGTCAACTTCTGTCCTGAATCCAAGCCACCAGAGAGAAAACGGGTCAGACTTGTGGCACGAGATTCTTAAGAAGTCGCGGAGGGAGGAGGGGAGTTGATAGTCAGATTGCAAGCCCCTTTAAACCATCCCTGCTGAGAGCCCAATACCCCTTAAGAAACTAAGGAAAAAGGCGTAAATGATACAGGGATCCTTATTTAGTTTAAGGAATATTCCTTAATTTAGCGGTATTGGGTTTTTTGTGAACTCTCAGCCCTGCAGCCCTCGTACTGAAAAATCAGACCATTTCCTTGGGTCCAAGTGCGAAAGCTCGGCGGGGGTGCGGGGTGGGTGGGGGGTGAGGGAGGTGAGGGAGGTTGCCATGTGGGCGCCATTCTGTTCCTTCTGCCCTGTGCCACGTGAGCCCTTAAAAGGCATCCGGATCTGGGCTCCAAGCACCCCGAGCACTTCGGCGCCGCCGGCAGAACCGGCGTGGTCTTGGAGCACGCCCCTCCCCATGCAGTGGGAACAGCGAGTTTCTTTTCAGGACTCAAGGGATACTCAATGGGCCCAGGGGTTCTGGGTTTGAGTTTCGAGCTTGGTCAATGCTCTCAAGGCACCGCCCAGGATGCTGACAGCGGCTTTCAATTCACCCTATACAGAAGTTTGAAGGATCGAGGGCTGTGTGGCTGTGTGTACAGCTTTTCTCTTGCATCTAAGTCAGCCAAGGATGACTCGGATGAGTTTCCTTTCTTGGTAGACTTTGGCGGGGCTGGACGAAGCTGGGCGTGGTTGAGAATCGTGAGACCTCCAGGGATGTGTTCAGAATCAGCCGTAAGAACGAGTCTTTCTGCATGGATTCCAAGATCCACCAAGGAAAGTCATGGTTCAAGGCAGAACGGACACTGCAGACTCTGAGACGTAGCTCCCAACCACAAGCCTTTTTCGACCTCTCACCCTAAACCCCAAACCCTAAACCCTAGACCCTAGACCCTGGACCCTAAACCCTAAACCCTAAGCCCTAAGCCCTAAACCCTAAACCCTGAACCCTAAACCCTAAACCCTAAACCCTAAACCCTAAACCCAACCCCTGAAGGCCGCCTGGTTGGAGAGAAGCAAAGAAGCTCCGCAGCCCAACCACAGCCAAGTCTCCAAGCATGGCGCCCTTGCGGCCCGGCACTTCCGTACTTCTAGGGTTTAGGGTTTAGGGTTTGGGGTTTGGGGTTTAGGGTTTAGGGTTTAGGGTGTTTAGGGTGTTTAGGGTTTTTAGGGTGTTTAGGGTGTTTAGGGTGTTTAGGGTGTTTAGGGTTTTGGGCTTTGGGTTTAGAAGGGGGGGGGGGTGTATGCGCATTCTTCGTTGCAAGTCTTTGTCTGGGGCTTTAAGTAGGACTTTAAGGGTTGAGGATTGTACTCGAAGGCGGAATTGTTCGGCCGAACTTCCAGGTGCTGCACTCCAAGTGAAGGCCCTATCGGGCGTTTTCTGAGGTGAAGCCCTCCCCCAATCCAAAATCCTAACTGGTCTTCGGGCATTCCACTATTCTCTCAAAGGGCAGCTCAATCAATGACAGGCAGGTCCTCCTCTCAACCATTCCTCACCCTTCCTTAATGTCAGCGGGTGCTTAGGCCAGGAAGATTTGCAGAATGGATCGTTCTGTGGCAGTCACAGTCGCAAACTTTCTGCTTCGACAAGGAGCGAAGTCCGTGATGGACTTGGGGTGTGGCTGTGGCCAATATCTGAAGGTCCTTGATGCTGTTGGATTTCATAGCCGCGGAGTGGACCTGAACCCCTATGCACCGGAGCTCTCCGGTGGCCTCTGCGCTTATGGTGATATAACAGCACCACTGGGCCATGAGGAGCGCAGCGACTGGGCTCTGTCTTTGGAAGTTGCGGAGCATGTGCCTTCCATCTTCGAGCGCGCGTTCTTGGAGAACATCAATCAGCATGCGCAGCACGGGGTGATCATCTCTTGGGCATCTCGTACTCAAATAGATCGCGGACATGTCAACCTGCGAGACTCAGATGAAGTGCAGGCAATCTTTGCGGAAATGGGTTTTGCTTACGATGAGCCTGCCAGTGCCATGCTTCGTGCTGCAGCAGCTCAGACTTCATCCTTTGGTGCCTGCTGCGGCCATTTTGCATACAACCTGCATGTATTTCAGCGGATGTCGAGCTCCTTTACTCCGCACCAGGACTTTCAGATGTTCCTAGATGACGTGAGTAGAAAAGGGTGCGCGAGACACCAAGGCTCCGATTTCAGTTGCGATGTCTGCGAATTCCGCCTCTACCCCGCAAGGCCTGGATTGACTCTGCCCAGCCAAGTCTTGTGGGATTTGAATGGCGTCTCCATGGCTGAAGCTGAGCTCCTCTGCTGCCGGGAGGGCCCTTTCCGCTGCGCAGCCGTGTACGTTGATCCCGGGTCCGGGCGCATCCAGCTTCTGAGCGAAGTGACCGCACCCTCGGAGTGGCAGTGGGACCTTGATGCGGTCTTGCGCGTGATGCATACCTGGAACCTGCAGGGGCTGAAGCGCGAGAGTGAAGTCAAGAAGCCGCATGGGAAGGACATCGCCTTTTGGACCATCGCTGAAAGAGAACCTTGCTTCGGGGTTGAGGCCGGCGAATGCCACGAGCCCGCAGCTTCTTGATCGCAAAGGCCAAATGCAAAAAGCAACCGCCGAACATGGCCATGGTTAGTAAGCCTTTGTACCTTCAAAGCATTGAAGGTCTTTTTCGAGCAGGTTTTCTGGACCCACCTTCAATAAACAAGTGATGTTTGCCACCCTCTTTCTCCAGACCCCACATGTGCTCGCGCTTAACTAACCAGACATCCAGGTTGGTTGGACGGCTAGATTCTCGGGTTGGATTCATTTATCGAACAGCCGATTCGTTACAAAAACAGCCAAAGGATAGTCGGCTTCGGAACTGGAAGCCCGACGACCACGCCCCTGAAAAGACTGCAGTGATTTAGCGACTCTTGAACCCCAAACCCTAAACCCTAAACCCCTCCAATGCGCGCCCGACTTGCCGATGACGCTGGCACCCCCCATACTCGCGCAGTTCTCTTCGTGTACGAAGCCTACATGTGTATAGTAGCGCCGCACATTAAATTGGAACTCCGTGCTTGTTTCGAAAACATCTCGGAAGTGGGCTGTTGGTGCTGGTGGTGTTGTTGTTGGCGGCGGCTGCGCTGCCGCTGCCGCTCAAGGGGGGCTTTGTGCGGGGCTCGGGAGAGGCGGGGGGCAACACCCCTCCTGTCTTCTTCTTTAAGAAAGAGGCGCTGCGCATAGAACTCGAGAACAAAGGTCTCCAACTGGGCATGCCTTCAAATCTATATCGCACTATCTGGACACAAAAATCTGAATGGCAAGTCGCGTAGGTCGTGGATTTCCAAAGCGAGGCGGATGTCAATTCCGTCGTGGCCAAGGCCCGCAAACTGTGCATCACGGTGTCTTAGGACCGAGCCTGCGGCATAAAAGCCGGGAATCACAGACGATTTGGTGTTGTTGCCTGAGGGAACCCCCTATGCTTTCTTTGGAGTATCTCGAGATGGAAGCGGGAAAAGCTTGCACACCAGCACATGAAACCCTAAACCCTAAACCCCAAATCCTAGGCCCCTCCCCCCGCCTGTGCCTCTCTGCAAGGCCAAGGGAGACCTGCAAGTCGGCTTCCTGTGCACCTCGGCTCAGGGCTCTGCAGCGTGCTGCAACATCCCTAACCCAGAGAAACAACCAAGAGATCTACACAAAGAGATCTACACACAAAGAACTATACAAAGAGCTACAGCCGGATGTCCTATGTGAGGCCCTGGCACAGTCCGCTCCGGAGGTGACGTCGGATGCAGGCTCCAGCCGTTTGGTGTCTGTCTGTGTGTGTGTGTGTGTGTTAGCCTTGTATGGCTCCCAAGGGCTTTGACTGCCCGAAGAGTTGCAAAGGCTGAGGGGCTCCGGGTTTCTCTGGTTCGCGGGGCTTCAGAGGACACGGCCTTCCTTTCAGCCCAGGGTGCGTGCAACAGTTGTCGCCAGCGTGCTCATTCTGAGACGCAATGCCCAGCTCTTGGCCTAGAGGTGATTTGCGATTGGTCCGCTTGAGGAGTTGTGCACGATCTGAAGCGGACAGCCAGACACTGGTAGGCTGGTAGGGTGTTGTTAAGTGTGTTCCTCCTGAAGCGGGGCAGATTCATGGAATGTTGCAGGGCCATTCAATCAAGTTTGGGAAGCCCATCTCGAAGTGCCTATGCGTGACCCCTGCTGATTTCTTAAACGGTACGAACACTTAGCTCAGTGGTGCCGAGCATCCCAATTTCCACGCAACCTCTCAGACCCCAAGTGGTGGCCGCAACATCTGAGATCGAGTTCCGCCATGCTGTGGAGCAGCTCTGCCAGGACTGCGTAGATGCTCGGAGAGGAGGTTACCGCTTTGATCCTGAGAGATTTCAAAGACTTTCTGTGGCTAGGAGGTTGCCAAGACAGCCGCCGAACGGGTACAAATGGCACTGGATGATACTCCAGGCGCCCCTCCCTGCAAGCATTGCTACTGCACTCTCCTCGCAAGCTTGAGGGTCGTGTGAACAGCAGCGGCAGATCGTGCAGATCGTGCAGATCGTGCACATAGCAAGGACTAGGTTCGAATCCTTCCGGAGACGTGAACCCTGCATTCTGCCTGCCCGAATACTGTATCAACTCATTCATGATTAGTGTCCATCCCAAGCGCAGTCACTGTTTCACTTCAAAGGTTAGTCTCCAGGCCCTACTACCCTGATGCCGCAACCTATTACGACGCACGGGTCCTGCATCCTGAGGGTCGCATGCTGACTGTATTCGCTTCATTCAATAGCCCACATGGTTTATAGAAATTGTACAGTGGTTTGGGTCCCAAAAACGTTTTGAACGAAAGTTTCTGTTTGAGAACCTAATTTATATTTTTGTTGGGGTCTTCTGGCCCTGGCTGGCCTCCTGGGACTCTTTGGGTGGGAAGGCCGAGAGGTTTAAGTAAATTGAGCATTTGGCTTCCCAGGTCCTGTGGATGAATTTACGTAAACTCTGCTTGTCAGCTGGTTAGACAAATAACCTGGGAAAACTCAGAATGATACCACATACAATTTCTATTTATTCTCTCTTGAGGGTTTAGGGTTTAGGGTTTGCGGCAAGGTGGCTCCTGTGGAAGCCGTTTGGACTTGCCTTGGAGAAGCTTCCATGCCCCACAGGAGCGACATCTCAGAACACAGCGCCTTCCGGCTTCGGTCTGACATCTTTGTTCCAGGGTTTAGAGTTTGGGGTTCAGGGTTCATTCAGGGTTTAGGGTATCTGACATCTTTGTTCCAGGGTCTCATAAATCCAACATCTTCCTTGGCAAGGCCCCGCAAACCTGCAGCGCGGAAACAGCTGCCCCCCCCACGTATACCTCCAAGCGGAAAGTTTTTTTATCAGGGAGGCCCTGAACCCGTGTGCGATGGTGCTTAGAGGGCAGCCTCCACTACTCACCGTCGCTGTTAGCAACATGCACGGCCTTGAGGCCTTTCGGGCCCCACCCCCCTTACCATCATTTTGAGAGCCGGCCTGCTGCAAGCTGCAGGACGTCGAGCCCCAGCCCTAGAACAACATCGACAAAGGGGATGCCGCTTTTGCAGGTGGCATTGCAGATGGCATCATATAGCCAAGATCAGCTAGAAAGAAGCTTGAGTGTGACATCGGGGCTTCGTAGTGCCATGAGCTTAGGTGAGGTGTCCGTTGAAGGTGGTGATTCAATACTGGCACCATTACATCGGATGGTGCGGGGGGGAGAGACGGGTTTTATAAGTTTCGTAGTTGTCGCATCTACTGCTCATGCCTTGCAAGAACTGCTTTCTCTGTTTGCCCATGTTTACCCAATCTTTCGGAGTTCTTGTTTAGGGATTCACATGGTGGGGGGGAAGCAGCGGAGAGGTTGTGGATGGGGACATGTAGGGTCTACGGCAGTCCGAACAGGGCAGCTGTCATACTCTGGGCGAAAGTGTTTTTTGTGGGGTCCATGGTATCCATGGGGGTCTTCACGGGTCTGGGTTGGTTTCCCTGACCTGGGTGTCTATTTGGAGACGGTACATGGCCCTGGGTGGATTCACAGTGATCCTACATAGGTTTTGCGGTATGGCCAATTTTTTGGAAGGGTGTTTATGAAGGTTCCGTGGAAAACCAGCACGAGATTCACTGACGGGCCTTCACTGTCATGTAGGCTCCGACACGACCCGAGACAGGCCGGCTCTTGGTCGGTCTTGTGGGCCCAGAGCGCATTCCATGACAGCAGGGAAGGGCAGGCAGAGCAAGATGCTTGATGTCGGCTAGGCGGCTAGACCTGAAGAGCTGAGAAGGGGAAAAGAAACGCAGAGTACAAAAGAGGGCAGCCCAAAGCCACATTGCCGAGTTTTCGGTTTGAGCCTATTGTGCGGCCGAGGCTGCCACTGTGGTTTGGTGACTACTGCATGAAAGACGAGGCTGAACAGCTGATCGGTTCCTTCTACTTGGACTGTCTTTATTCTTGGGTCAAGCTTCAAGAGTAGACGTACCTATTAAGCAGTTCAAGAAGTGCTTGCATCGTCTGAGTCCAGGGACTGAGACGTGCTCAAGTCAACCTCCTAAAACCCTGCCTCGGCATTTTTCCAGGAGCATGCAGAAGGACGAGAAAGGCTTGGTTTCTTCTTGGGTGCCGCACACAGCTTGCAATAAGGATGCGTCCTCCTAAACTGAGAATTCTGGTTCACCTGCGTCCTGACAGAGTTCCGAAAACTGCGCTCCTGTCAAATCTTGTCAACCTTCCGGATTCCGCTGTGCACCGTGAAACCCGTGAAGATGTGCACGCCCCACGTAAGCCCTGGCACCCACGCTACGGAAGATGCGCGAGAGGTTCACCATTAACACTAATGAGAGGTGTCAAGAGGTCTCATGGCAACTGCAGAAGTTTAGCTTAAGCTTGCCAGGGCACCGCACCACAATGCAAGACACAAGCACCAGGACGAACAGACGCACAGCTCACAAAGCTTTTCCCAAGGAGGCATGAAGAATCGGGCCCCATCAGGCTTTATGGGCACGGCCGCATGGGGGGGGTGATGCTATTTCTATTACCGAGGGGCGTACCACACGGATCCACACTGTCAATTACGTTGCTGCTGCGCTAGCTTGTGCTCCAATACTGCTGCTGCTGCTGTACCTGAGGTGCGCAACCGGACATGCTGGAGCAGGCAAAATGGCTGTTATGTTCACTTGCTCACTATTGGTGATCAGTTACTCTGTATGCACTCCATGTTGTCTTGTGATTCGCGTCCGGTGTTCTCGCGTTGCTCGTGACTGAAGCTTGTATTCGAATTGCAGACGAGTTTGCTTCCCACTAGAGGTCCTCTATAGGCCCGTGGGATTTTTAAAGCCTGATCTCAAGTCTGCCATGCACAGAAGCATCTTCACGTCAAAGCTCATTGCTGCAGGCATCCGCGCATCTGGATGAGCAAAGAATTCTCACCACCAAGCATCCGCGCACATACGGACCGCTGGGTGGGAGTACACATGGCAAAAGGCGGCATTCTAGTGCGATGTAATCCTAAGCACTCTCAACATGTAGCCTTCTAATGGAGTTTTCAACCGCTTCAACAGCCAACCTTGAGAAGACCAACCCTACCTAA